ACGTAGCCCGTATCTTTTTTAAGGCCACACATGGTGTAGCAGTACTGGATATCGACTAAGGTAACCCTAGCGTTTTCTTGTTTGGCTAAGGCTATTATGCCATTGATGACTCGGTAGGAGTTGATGGCAAGCTACATCGGGTTCAACTTATAATAATGAAGTATCTCACAGAAAAGGATATTTAGTGGGAGCCAAAGTCCGCATTCAATAAAAGCTACGACACGGAAGGGCATAGAATCAGTCGTGGGCATGATGGAGTCATCCTCCCCAGCCACAGATGGACGTCAACAGGGATGGAAAACTCTCGCCTAAAGTATTCTAGCTTGGTCGGGGTGTCTACCCTATGCCTCCACATATCCATGATGTTGGCTTAAATGAAAGGTGTGAGACTTCGGAAGGGAATGTTTTGTGATGATTTTGAATGACCTCGGCTAAAACAAAAGGGGGAATGCGTTTCAGTTTTTCCTAAAAATTTGAGGGTTTCACAAACAAATCCCAAACCTAGATCTATGGAAACGAAGATTGAAGGCACGAATCTGGAAAAAAAAAAAACACAGAAAACAGAAAAGGAAGAATGTGTTTTAGAATCAAGAAACAGTGATAAACTATCAAGAACACTATTAGTGCAAGGGTATAAGGCCAAGAACAATGGCAAAAGTACAAAAAGATTGTGAGCAGTGTGCGTATTCAAGACATGGGCGAAGGCAAAGTCATGCAATAACACACTCAGATACATGATTCATAAATTGAATACTCGAGCAAAACAGCAATGGCAATAAATAATGAAGCGGAACTTTTTGAAGAGCAACAAGAAATAAAACCAAGAGGAACAGTGGCTTACTAGAAAAAGTGAAGCCGGTGTAAGGATCGCCGAAGTCAGACGACGGTATGAAAGGTGTGAGACTTCGGAAGGGAATGTTTTGTGATGATTTTGAATGACCTCGGCTAAAACAAAAGGGGGAATACATTTCAGTTTTTTCTAAAAATTCGAGGGTTTCATAAACAAACCCCAAACCTAGATCTATGGAAATGAAGATTGAAGGCACGAATCTAGAAAAATCACAGAAAACAGAAAAGAAAGAATGTGTTTCAGAATCAAGAATAGTGATGAACTATCAAGAACACTATTAGTGCAAGGGTATAAGGCCAAGAACAATGGCAAAAGTGCAAGAAGATTGTGAGCAGTGTGCGTATTCAAGACATGGGCGAAGGCAAAGGCATGCAATAACACACTCAGATACATGATTCATAAATTGAATACTCGAGCAAAACAGCAATGGCAATAAATAATGAAGCGGAACTTTTTGAAGAGCGACAAGAAATAAAACCAGGAGGAACAGTGGCTTACTAGAAAAAGTGAAGCCGGTGTAAGGATCGCCGAAGTTAGACGACGGTTGCAAAAACAACAGTGCAGTGAAAAACTCACCAGAAGAGGTAAGCAAAGCAAGTTGAGGAGCTAGAGAAGCTTGAACAATGGAGGATTTGAAAGAAAGAGCTAGAGAGAGAGAGAAAGCCTCAGAAACGATGGAGAAGAGTGAAAAGACGGAGGAATGAGGGAAGTTTTGTCAAAAAACGCAAAAAGGCGGCCGAACGGAATTAATGAGCCTAGAATGACAAATTTGTTAAACGGCACATACAGGCACGAGACGACTTGCAAGCGCGTACAGAGTACGATCTCGTAAAGGGAAGACACGTGGCTAAAACGGTTGAGTTTTTATGTATGACAGCTCATGCGCGTGAAGAAGTTCTTGGAATCCTTGGTCTTTAAGAAGGCTTGTTGGCCTTAATGATGATCTCGGCAGAGAGATTTTGAGCCGACGTACTGGAATCAAGTACTAATATAGGTTCCATCACCTCAAAACGCCGAGGTAATAGAACTTAGGGGGTAGTTATGGGGATATATTTTCTGAGTACCAACACGTGGACAAGGTGACGCCGACGTGTCAGCCGAGGTGCCACGTGTCCTGGTCATGACGCCGAGGTTATCTCAGCTACGCCGAGGTTACCTCCGAAGATATCGAAATCCGGGATAAGCGGATAAAGCACAAGAGTCCTAGAATGAGGAAAGACTTTAGCATGGATAAGGATAACACTCTTAGGAAGTTTATCTTTATCTCTTCGAGAGTCCAGGATAAGCACTGAGCAGAAGTCCATTGAAGCTAGGCTTCTATGGGGACTAGGATTGAATTAACTACAAAAGAGAGGCACCCCCAATGGGTCTAAGGTACGCAATTTATATTCCGAACAGTGAGATTAGCACTATTGATTATCTTTGAGAGATATACTGACTTGATCGTCAGAGTGTCTCCGGGTGGACGAACCACTGCTAGAATCTTCTCTTTCTGTTGTAGGTCGGTTAGGTGCCATCTATTCTGCCAGTGCTCTCCAGCTGAATACTGAGTTTGGCAGTGTGGTCAAAAATTCACTCACACAATCAGATAGTTGAATATTTTCATCAGTCTAGTTGTTTTTTGCCATGGAAAATAATTGAGAGAATTGTAATTCAGTGGGTCTTGATTTTTTTGTGTCCTAAATAAGTGCACTTTTTGTCTTTTTAGACTAAAAAATTGAGGAAGAAAATATGGATGTTTTGGTTAACTTTTTGACTTTTTATGGAAAATGTGTAATAAAAAATTGTAAAAATTGATTTGTAGGAAAAAATTAGGATTGAGAGTTGTGCAGTCGTAATTGTTGACTTTTGGTGAATAGTGTCAAATTCTGAATTAACTTTTTGAGTAACTTTTTGATTTTTTTGTAATATGCCAAACTTGACCTTAAACTTGAGAGAAGTACAAAAGCCCAACTCTTTGTGTAGGACTCCATTTGTCAAGGATTTGAGGTTAAATTTTTGAAAGTAGTTTGAAAACTCTAAAATGAAGGATTGAGTAGAGCCACCAAAAATATTTTATTAAGATCTTTCAAAAGTACAATATCTTATTAAAGGATCTCAATTTATTAGTTTCACCATGCTATTCGAAATCAATCAATAGAAAGTTCTTAAATTCGTTCTTGTTATTTTAATCAAAAAATTTATTTTGAATTAAAGATTATACTTCTCAAGTTATTAATATCAAATCGATTCATTTCAAATGTATAAATCCACAGATCCGAAGGAATTTAGGCCTCAAATCCTAGTTTGATTTGTTTTTTTTTTTTTTTCTCCCTATTTTGGCTTATTTTGGATACACAAAAAATAAGCAGTTTATTAGTTTATTGACTTATTTGAATCACATCATCTCTTTACTATTTTGTGCATCATTTCGTAATAAGCAAAAAAATAAAAATAAATAAATAAATTACACTTTACCCTTTTTTATGTTTGACCACTTTTTCAATTTGAACCTTAAAAGGTTTTTTTTTTTTTTTTTAAGCTTTTCGTGTTTCAATTTTTTTCCAATTTGTTTTCAAAACTAACCTCTATTTAAAATTAGGTAGAAAATAACACATTAACAGGCGAGCAATATAAAAATATTTTATTATATATAACTCACACCTCTATTACAAACTCAAACTCTAATATAATAATATATTTTTTATATTATGTGACAGTTATCATGACATTTTCCTATCCAATTTTAAACAGAAAGTAATTTTAAGAGTAAACTGAAGAAAACTTAAAATAAGAAAGATCAAAGTGAGAAAAATTAAACTTTAAAGATTAAAGAAAATGGCCAAATATAAAAGGGAGAAAGTGTATTTTTATCTTAAAGAAGAAGCCTTACCCGAAACAAACCATTGTTGTTAAGGATGATCTTCATCATAATCAAACATAATGACAAGATATAATATGATAATTGACCTTAGGGGCTTTCGCTGTCACGGTTTTTGCTTTAGTAATTGCAAAATTGTAGTCTAATAGATGATCTAAATTGTCAACATCCCCAACCAAGATATGTAATATATATATATAGGGCTTAGGGTTTATCAACTAGAACAATTTTGTGTGATATGAAAATATATAATTTGAAGTACTGGACTCTATTTAAAAATTTGGTTCTTTCAAGAATAGAACAAGAAAATGTTTGTTTTTTTAGAACAACGTTCAATTCCATCAACTATTCACTATTTTTAAAATTAATATATCCATAAAAGTCTCATTCAAACTTATTGGATAAGAACTCGAACAAATAGGATCAAGTGGCAATCACTGGTTTTCAACTTTTAAAAACAGTTTTTTGAATTTTTAATTTGTATTTTTATATTTTTAATAATTTTTTAAAAATATTTTAAGCAAATTTTTTTAATTTTTAGATTTTCTTAATCTTTATATACTTAAAATTGTAAATAAATCTTCAAAAAAAAATTATTGAATACAACGAAATATGAAAATATATTGAATTTTTATATTTGTTGTATTTAATATTTTTTTAAAAAAAAATTCACAAATATTATGATTTTTAGAGTATTTAAGTGTATCTAAAAAATAAAAATTTTGCTTAAAATAAAAAAAAAATACTAAAAAAAAAAAAACTCAATTTTATGAAACATTGACTCGGTTATGGTGAATTGTCCAATAATAATTTCTCAGTGTGAGTTCACTTAAATAGTGAACGTAATTCTCAAAAAATTAAATAAAATAAATAATATGGTAAAAGTGTTATGGTTGGTGAAAGTAATCGGAGTGATGATACAGATACAGCGGCCCATGTCCCCAGTAGGTGCAGTCACAGTATAGCCAGCTAGCTATTAGCTAACAATGTGGATTACATCAAAACAAATTCTCAATTAATTGGATTTTGTTCTTATAAGCTAACAGTAGCATGTGCACAGATATCATCATAAATAGGAGTATCATTATCAACCAAAATAATCTATGACTATGAGCCAACCACTTCACATGCAACAAAAATCAACTCACCTTAAGCAATAAATATTAGGATTTCATTATTTGTACTTTAAAATAAAAAAATTAAAAAAAAAAAACAAAAGATATAATATATAATAATAATAATAATAATAATAATAGATAAACAAACATGAGTAAAATAGTTATAATAACATTTTTTTTTTTCCTTTCTTCTTTCCAATGTCCAAAAAAAATTTCATGACCTGATGAATGCACCAAACTGCACACTCTCCCTCTCACTCTCTCACTAACCCAATTCCAATTGTGTATCAATTTGGCTTGTTATCATCACTTTTGTTACAACTTTCTTGCAATTCATCACCACCTTGTTTTGGGCTCTCAAGTGCCCTCTTCTCTTGCTCTTCTTCTTCTCTCATCAACCCACCATTTGCTCTATTCTTCTTCACCCTAGCCTTCAATGCCTCCAACAATTCATTAACCGCCTTGTCTTTATCACGCCTGTTCTTGATCAACACCTCACTGATATCTGCTGGTGTCATCTGAGCATCATCAACAACCTCACCCAATTCCTTCAACACCATCTCATTCAAATCTCCCTCACCATATCCCAAATAATTCTTCAAAAGAATCTTCAGCGATGGGAATGAACAATAGCTCATGAATATATGCATATCCATCCTCCCACTTCGCAGCAATGCCGGGTCGAGCTTCTCCACATGGTTGGTTGTGAACACGAATATCCTCTCGCTCCCACAACACGACCACAACCCATCAGTGAAATTCAACAACCCAGAAAGCGTAATCGAGTTTCCGCCACCATCATCGCCGCCGCCTCTCATTTCCGGCAGCGGTCCGCCGTCGTAGTGGTGGTTCCTCCCCGGAGCATCACCAGCATTCTTCTTCCTGTTAGTCAAATTGATAGAACAATCGATGTCCTCAATCACAATTATGGATTTGGAACTGGTCTTCATCAAGAGCTTCCTCAAATCGGAATTGTTATGAACCTCAGTCAATTCCAAATCGTAAATGTCGTAGCCGAGGTGATTGGCCATGGCAGCAATCATGCTTGATTTTCCAGTTCCTGGTGGTCCATACAATAGATAACCACGCTTCCATGCTCGACCAGTCTTCTGATAAAAAGACTGACCGTTAGCGAAGTCATTGAGATCGGCCATGATCTCTTCTTTCTTCAGTGGATCCATTGCCAATGTCTCGAATGTGCTGGGATGCTTGAAAGGAACAGAATCCCAAGGGTGGCCTCTCGAATCGAGCGACCCACCTCGTGAATTTGTGTATAAAAACCGATCCTGGTTCTTCCTTCGAATTTCGTTGGCCTTGTCCATGATGTGATCGAGATAGGAATCGAGGACCAATGACTTGTCCTTCTTCTTGATTCGGAGAGTGAAGCCTCGCTTGTCTTCGGGCAATGGGCGCCAAGAGAAGGTCTGGTTCTGGCGGGGAGTGATGACGTGTTCCCAGAGGACGGGAACGCCGAGGAAGACGTCGACGAGGTTGTCGGAGTTGGAGAGGCCGAAGGTGACGGCGGTGGAGTTGGTGGCGCGGGTGAGGCTGAGGCGGCTGCCGGTGATGGAAGCGGAGGTGCTGAGGTAGAGTTGGGCGGCGTTGTAGAGCTCGTTGGTGTTCACGCCGTCGATCTCGGTGATGTCGTAGTAGCAGTAGGAGGAGCAGAGGTTGAAGACGCGGCTTAACAGCTTCAGAGACGCCACGCGAAGCTCTGCTGGGAATACTGCGTGGAGGAGGCTTTGGCAGAAGGCCCAAACGCCCATTAGTGATGCCAAAGATGTCCAGAATTCCTTCATTTTCAATTTTTTTCTTTTTTTCTTTTTTGTTTTTGGCTAGTGGTGGTGGGAAACTGGTTTTTGAGAGATGGGTGTTGCTAGGTTTTTAGCGAGAGTTTATGGTTTTCGGAATTCTTGTAATGGATATAAGTTGAAAATGAGAAGGTTTGGAGAGAGAGAGAGAGAGAGAGAGAGATTGGGGGGGTATAGATAGGAGGTGGTGGTGGGGAATTGAATGGAGACGAAGAGAATTCTTGAGTTTTGAGAGATGGGTCTTTCTTGATTTATAGAGGAAGTAAATGGGTTTTTGGAATTCTTGAAATGAGTGATAAGTTGGGATAGAAAGACCGAGAGAGAGAACGGGGGAATAAAGGAAAGAAAAATGTTATAAATTTTAAATTTTTTATTAAATAAATAAATAAATATTTTATATAAATATAAAACTTATAAAATTATAAATTTCATATTCATATAAAATATTTGATTACTTATTTAGTTACAACTTTAATATACTAGTGCCCTCTAAAGGAAATGAAAAGCTCAAAAAGGTTGAAAAGGGTTTTGAAATTGGGTGTTGGGGAGAGGAGAGATGATGAGATGGGATGGGCTGGCCATGGGGCACATACATACATACAAAGTACAAGGAAAACCTCAAAGGTAGGGGCTAAAAGACAAACTCTCTTATTCATCACTCTTCTCTAATTAGGGTAGGGTAGGGTTGGGGTTGGGTTAGGGTTTGGAAATGGAGAGGATAGAGGTCGCCAGAGAGGATGGAGGTTGTCGATGAAGGGCTGCCAATGGTAAAAACATAGCCAAACACTACAAGAAAAGTGGGTTTATGAGACTAGTGATTTCCATTGTGGTTTTTTTTATTGTTCATCTTTTCCTGTACACTATTATGCCAAATGAAAAATGATTTAGATCTTTAAAAAGAGAGTTTTAATGAAGCATTAATTTATTCTTTTTTATTTTATTTTTTGTCTTTTACTTCACTATTTATTTTTTTTATTTTTTTATAAATTATCAACTCATTAAAATTACACTGTAACAATTTTAATTAGAGTTCTCTAGCGACACTCTGTGCCAAATTTGAATGAGTTATTGTGGGCCTAAAAAGTACTGACTACTGAGATTGTGAAATGAGAGAGAGTGAATATGATATATCAAGATCCATCCATCTTACAACCAGACAACGAATGAGCTTGGAGCAGATGCTGGACCTGTTATGAGAAGATATCTAGTACGTCTGTCCAGTGACTGTGGGTCTGTAATAGAATAATTATATGATTAATAGAATTATAAGAGCATTAAAATATAGGATAGATTCATAGGATATTTTCTCGCAAATAACTCGTCAAATCCGACTTCACCCGCAAGGTTGGATGGTTTTGAAGAATCAAAATTTTCTCCTTCTATTTCCTCCTTACATTTCTTACTTATAAAGTTATTGGACGTATTTTTAGGTTCAATTTTAATAATTCGAACTATCATATTTTAAGATTTATTTAGTATATCATATCTGTAAAAAATTAAATTGATCGGATATTAGAAAGTATGTGTTCGAAAAACTCGAACTTAAAACTATTTTTTAAAGAATTTAATAAACAGTTTTCCGAACACATACTTTCTGATATCCGATTAACTTGATCTTTTACTTGTATAATATACTGAACAAATCTTAAAATATGAACAGTTTTGATTATCAAAATTAGGCCTAAAAGTGAGTACAATGGCCCTACAAATAGGAAATGCAAGGAGGGGATCTTGATTTGATTTTGAGAGGTAAGTCGACTTGGATGCAAGTTGAGTTTTGAATAAAATTACTAGTTGTGGGCAGGTTGTTGCCACAACCCGCCCATATTATTAAATTAAAAAAAAAAATCATCTAATCTCCCACATGGGTTATTCCTTTTTTCAAATCCTTTTATCATCTTTTCCCACTTTTATACAGTCTTTGTGCCTATTGGAACTATTAAAAAAATAACGTAAGATGCAAAATAATGAAAATTTACGACCAAGTTATGTTTGTTTATATTTATATTTATATAGAGAGAGAGAACATTGCTATTAACCCTTACCTTTCTTCTTAGAAGCTTCACCTCTTCCATTTTTTTTTAATTCCAATTTTATCTTAACCTAAAATTCTACTCTTACCCTCATTATTATTCTTCTAACTCTAATTTTCCAAATCCAAACCCTAACCCTAATCACCCAACCACCCCTCACCCGCCTCAACCACCACCACCTCCGACCACCACTCACTGCCGCAACCATCGTTATCTCTAACCACCTCTTACCCCTCAAAGAGAGATTGAGCGAGCGAGAGAGAGAGAGTTAGATCAAGATTGAGGAAGAGAGAGAGGGAGATCGATCTATATCACGTCGCCATCATCTTGCTACAAAACCCTAGCCCAACCATCATGTCGCCATCATTTTCGTCGCGTCGCAGAACCATCGATCTTCATCTCCTCCTCTTAGGAATCGCTCATTCCCTCCTCCCCCTCTTTCTCACTTTCGGAGAAGAATTTGGTCCGGCGATGGCAAAAGAATTTGGGTTTTGAAAACCAAATCTGGGTTTAGAAGAGAAGGATAAGGAAGAAGAAGAAAAAGAAATTAGGATAGGGTAGGATTGGAGTTAGGGTTGGGTTAGGGTTTGGAAATGGAGAGGATAGAGGTCGCTAGAGATGATGAAGGTTGCCGATGAAGGGCTACCAATGATAAAAACATTGCCAGAAGAAGAGTTGGGTATCCAAAGAACAGGGGTATAACTGGTATTAAGGTGGAGGTTCAAAGAGAAGATGTAAGGGTTTCAATTATGTGAGTAGAGATTCAAAGAAGTAAGGGGGTCAAAGTAAAAAGTTGGGGGTAAATAATAGCCCTCTTATGTATATATATATATATATATTAAGTCCACTTGTGTTGTCCCACAAAAATTTTAAAAAAAATAAAAAAAATAATTGAATCATTCTCAACTCTTGTAAAAGTGTGTTCATTCTATCAATTTTCTTTAAGCAATGCATTAATTATTTGTAAATTTACAAATAAAAATTGCTTGAAAGTAAAACACAAGCTTGACTTATTTGGTAATTGAACGAGTTTGAATGAGTTAAAAATAATTGAGCTTCATGAATAGTTGTGTTTTTTTTAAATAAAATCCCAACCCGCACACCGGATTGACCCACTTGCACAAACTGTAAATTGCATTGCAGGCGATTTTTTTTTTAAACTCATATTAAATCGCGCAAGTTCAAGCATATAATAGCATTTTTACATTCACATCATTTGGCGTGAAGTTAGACAAGGAATTGATAAATTCTAGATGAGGTGTTTATACATTTCGTGCACAAGGTCAAATATACCATGATTTGCCATCTTTGATTCTATCTAGTAAGGATCCTGGTTATTTCCAGTTGTAGTTCTATAATGCAAACAATGAACTTCAGAATAGATTGAGTAAACTAAACGATACACCACTTTGTAAGGTTGTTGTTGGTAAATTAATTGAGATACTTTCAGAAAATCCTTATGCTCAGTTTTTGCGTACACTAGAACATGTTCCATTAGATACTTTTCAAATCCATATAAGTACAAATGTGAAGTTGGATCAAAAGGTTTACAACTCACCATTAGCTGATCAGGTAACTGCAATTTGGTTCCTCATGAACGTGATATTATAGTTCACTCAAATTCGGGCCATAAGCATAGAGTGCAACACTATCATGGTTGTTATGATCCATTGCAACACCCATTATTATTTCCTAGAGGAGAGGTTGGATGGCATCAAAATATCCTTAAAAGAAATAGAGCTGGAGTAGATAATGGTGTCATTAACATGCAACAAAATTCAAATATGCATTCATTTACATCAGCTGAAGACATTTTCAGACAAGAGCAAGAAGGTACTTACTCTTTTCTAATGAAATCGTTTTTTATTTTATTATTTTATATTTTATCATTTTTTGTTTTTCATTTTTTTGGATTTTTATGAACGGGACGCTGAAGGACTAATAAGAAAATTAATAGAAAGGATAAGCTTTGAATAGTCCAAGAACCAAAATAAAGATGAGATATTTGATGAGATTGTCAAAAAATATTTGAACATTCCAATTCACTCTACATCTATGATGAGATTGTCATGAAAAGCAACCATCTTTACACCCTAAATTTTGCTAATATGTAAATACTTTTCTTATTAAAAATACTAAAATGTTCAAGTAACCATTTAAATTAGTTACTTTTTTATACACTAAGGCCTCGTTTGGGAACTTTCTCTTTTAGCCAAAAAATCAAAAAGTTACTAAATTAGCCAAAAAAATCAATAACCCATACTAAAAAGTCAAAGATTCTCTTTTCTCTTTACTTTTTGCACATCTTTTCGTAAAAAGTCAAAAAGTCATCCCAAACATACTAATTTTTTTTAGCTCATATTTTAGCCAAATAGCCAAAAAGTTATTAAATTAGTCTGTTCCCAAACAAGGCCTAAATGGTTATTTGATTTTTATATTACTTATATTTGTATAAACAGTTTGCAATGAATAGACAAGAAAATGTGCATGTTCTGGATTGTTTGAATTCTTTCTGCCTATTTAGTTGTGATTTCATTATATATTTTTCCTGTGTACTATTATAATGTCTCCTTTTTTCTTATTGTAAATTTAATGTTTGGTGCAGATGTTGATGGTAGTGGTAGAAAAAATGTATCATGTCGACAATACTATTGTTATAAACTACAAGTACGAGATGACGACCACTCAATCATCCTACTATCTAGGCGACTATTGCTGCAATTTGTTGTTGACATGTATATAAAACTTGAGAATACAAGGTTGGACTTTTATCGGAAGAAACAATAAAAAATAAGGGCTGAACTTTACTAAGAGATTGTAGATAGTGTATTATCTGGTGACAATAGGGGAAGCAAAGTGGGAAAAAGAATAGCATTACCTGCATCCTTTGTAGGAGGCCCAAGAGATATGCGTAGGAGGTATTTAGATGCTATCTCATTAGTACAGCGCTTTGGAAGGCCAGATCTTTTTATCACAATGTAGACACCCCATTTTTGACCGACCTTAAGACTTAGATGTCACCAGTTGAGCGCTCAGTGATGTTGCATTTTGTGCTCGATCTGAGGTTTCAGAGTCTCGGCTGAGAGCCTTGCCTCCGGACTTCGAGGCTCTTTTGTGCTTTGCTTCGGTTTGCGAACCAGGTCCTGTTTTCTCTGCTTTCTTTTCCCGAAGGGAGGGAGAGGTCTTGTAGACCATCTCTCAGTGGCCGTAGGCTACGTTTCGTGGTCGTAGGCCATTTTTCTCATTTGGAGCCCGGTTTTCAGTTTTCGGAGCCGTCGGCCGTGTGCCTCAGTTCGGGACCGCTTAACTACCTCTGTTTGCTCCGATTTTTGGCACACACCTTATTTCCTCCCTTTAGAGGGACACTGTGGCCCTGGAGACCACCTTCGTGGTCATACGCCACTTCCGGTGCCTAACAGCCTATTTTCGGGGGCCCGAACCGCGCGTTTTGGCCCCCGAACCGTGCGTTTTGCATCCGTTTTGGTCCATTTTTTGTAGAGACCCTATTTTCATTGTTAGGGAGGTGGTAGGATGGTGGCCGGCCACCTCTTCCCCTGAAAAGCCAGTTTTCTCATTTTCTCTCTCCAAAAGCCGATTTTCTGACAGAAAGCTGATTTTTCTCACTTTTAAGCCACATTTTCTGGCTTTTCATACCACCATTGTGTTGTGCTCATCTGGGAGGCCACCAATATGGGTAGGCCGGCCAGAAATTCATCTTGACTCTTTTGAACCTTGCTTAAAAGCTAGCTTTTCTCTCTCTTGGGCCACATTTTCTAGTTTTTCTCTACATAGCTCTGTTCTACTCATCTGGGAGGCCACCTTTCTGGGTAGGCCGACCAGCAATTTTGCTTGAACCTTTTGACCCCTAGTCGGCCGACCAGGGGGAGTGGCCGGCCAGCCACTTGAACTGGTCGGCCTACTTCTTGCTTTTTGCCCTCTCTGAATGCTTTACAGTTGTGCCAGCTGGGGGGCATTTGGTGCATCTTCCATACACGTGTATGGAAGATCTTTGAAGCTTCCAAGAGAAGATTTGGCCTCTCTTCTCTATAAGAGAGGCCCTCCTCTTCATATCTAATGGTTGAACAAAATTGCTTAAGGCATATCACCTCCCTCCTCCATTGTCACTGTTCTAAGCTCCAAAACCCTCATTTTCTTGGTCCATTTGCACTACAACCCTTAGCACCACACCTCCATCATCCATTCCAGCACCTTGGAAGTCATTTGCAGAGGTTGAAAGCTCACCAACTTGGTCCAAAAGCTGCTGGAGGTCGGCTCTTCGAGGGTAAGTGTCCATTTTCCTTAAACTTGCATTTTTTTGCATGGTTGGTTAGCCTTATTTGCAAGCATTTTTGGGCTTCGACCCAAACTGTAAAGTGTCTTATTTTGATCCCCTCTTCAACTTTATTTAAGGGAACTTTTCTGTTTGAGGTCGTCTACTTCCCCTTATCCTCTATCTCTCTTTTAGGGCTATTTTTGCATCCTATTTTAGCCTTACTTGTGAGCATTTTCGAGATTTTCTATAAACTGGAAAAAGTCTTGTTTTGACATCCTCTTCAAGTTTTGTTAAGGTCCCATTTCTGTTTGGGGTCATGTTCCCCCTATGCATGCTTCATCTCTTCATGATTAAGGCTATGCATTAGAGCACTTGCATTGGCCATGGTTTGGCCTCTTAGCCATTGAAATCCAGGGAATTTTCAGTGGCTTTGATGAGGTTTTGAGATTTGAAATCATAAAGGGGTGACCCTCTCACCCCTCATTTTCTTTACTAGCATCATTGGCTTTCCAAAGGGGCTTTATTTTGCATGCATTGAAGTCACTTTTTGGGTCTAATTTTGTGGGTTTTAAGGTCTACCTTAGGTCTGTCCGGGGCCCTTTTGATCATATTTTATGTCTATAGTGCATGTATAGAACAATTTCATTCAAGGCCTTTTGAGGGGGCCTTTCATCGTATGGTTCCTTGACTGATTTCAGGGCCAATTTGGTGAGTTTTAGAGCTTTCATAACTCATTTCCAGAGTTGGTTTGGTCATGCTAAGTGTCTATCTTATATGTGCTTAACAACCCCTTGAATGGCCTTCCAAAGAAGCCCCTCATTTTTGCATGCATTGGCTGCATTTCAATGATTATTTGGGCATATTTTGGCATATTTTATTCACTATTTTTGGCTGGTTTGATGAGTTCTCATTTGCTTCATATACATGCCATGCAAACCATGCTGGCTAGCCAATGTTGCATACTATTTTAGTCCATCATGTTTTCATGTGCATTCATTTCATATCGAGTCGTGCAATTCGACTCCTCGGTCATCATGCATCGATATGCGTGATTGGTGGCACGAGAATCGAGGACTACACTCCCTGAAGAGTAGTCATGCATACATATATGAAAATACTTTGTCATGCCCCTTTGTTGCTCTCTGTTGCAGCAAATCAGAAATCAGCAGTTTTCTAAAACCTTGCACAACATTCCGGCATTAATTGCAAACAGAGGCGAATCGGGGCATCGCAATGGATTTCCACGCCAGGCAACTCAAGCATGCATCTCCCATCATTCGGAATAGAGCTGAGGCAGTCCATAGGCTTGCATGCTAATTTACTCGCTTTCCTAGATTAATTTGTTAATTAATTAGGGTTTTGTAATATTTAATTATTCATTTCGAACTGTACTATTTATTCGGACTGTATTATTTATTCAGACCCTCCGAGCGAGGGCACAATTGTAATAAGTGTGCGTGAGTGTGATGTATGTCTTCCAACCCCACGTCTTTGTCCCTTTTATTTACCAGCTTATGATGGTTATATTAGGGCATGTTTCAATTAGCATACAGTATGATAGCATGTTTGCATCATTCATCTGTATTGTATGCACCGGGCTCGGCGCATCATACTAACTGCATTGTATTTCAATTCCGAGTTGAATATGTGTTAGTTGTAGCATTTCATATGCCATATTTAGAATAGCCGAGCCTATCTTAGTTACATTTTGCATGTGTTGCATTAGGCATTTCTGTATAGTTATGATCATGCATGGATTTCTAACATAGCTTCTGTTTTAGCTTGGAGTACTCGGTAAGTTTTATGCTTTAGCATCCTTGCATGCGTGTGATTGACTGCCATGATAGCATGCTTACCAAGAGGCTATTTGCTTATATGATATACCTGCCTGAATGCCTGTAGGTGAAAGTTGGGTTATTTGAATTGGAACAATTCATCAATTGTGAGTTTTAAGCCCACTGAATAGTGGCAAATCATCTTATTTTCTAAGCCCACCTGAGGGTGGCAAATCCACATTTTAGCCTACTTGCGGGTAACAAACCGTTTCCAAAACAAACATGAGATGTTTCGTTCCAATTCAGACGATCCGGTCTATATTTGTATGTTGTGCGCATCACATAGTAAATCTAGACTAATAACCGGAATAAGAACGCGTAGTGTTTTCAAAACCCGATATCATGGTTAGTAGAGGCCGATCTTTGATCGGGCGAGCGGGGGTGCTCACGAAGTGACATTCCCCAATCGTACCTAAGTTCCCAAGCTGAGGCAACTTTGGTGATGACGGACACGTGGCCTTAGGCAACGAGTCAGGGTTTCCTAAATTTCCCAAAATAAAATATTTAGGTGGCGACTCTATATCTGGCAAAGCAGTCCATGTTTGGCACTTCTTACAAAAAATATGTTTTCAAAAACGATTTGCCGGATTTAGACTCTTTGATGATTTCATCGGTCTTGCATTGCACTCTGCGAGATTAGATACAGGACCGTGATATTGAGTCCTGAACTGTAGTGAGCCTAAATAAACAAAACCGGGGGGAGGGGGAGGAAGGGGGGATTTCCCTCCTGGGATGTTCGGGGACGTCTACACACAATGACTTGTAATCCTGATTAGAAAGAGATTAGGGATTCATTAAAGAAAGGACAGGTCAAGATAGACTTGTTTTAACTGCAAGAGTTTTTCGAGCAAAGTTACAAGACCTACAACAACAACTATTTAAGAAGCATATTTTTGGAAAAGTAGCAGCACACGTTCACATTATTGAGTTTCGAAAAAGAGGCCTACCTCATGCACACATGTTAGTCATCTTCATGGAAGATTGCAAGATTACAAATCCAGATGATTATAACAAAATTGTTTGTGCTGAAATTCCAGATTTAGACAAGTTTCCTGATTTATACGAAAATGTTTCTAAACATATGATGCATGGACCTTGTGGAATTTTAAATCAAAAAAATCCTTGTATGCGCGAAGGTAAATGCAAAAATCGTTATCCCTGCTCTTTTTCACCAAAAACAATGCAAGGCAAAGACAGTTATCCAATTTATAAGAAGAGTGAAGAAAGTTTTACTGTTAATGTACGGAATACTGTTTTGGATAATAGATGGGTGGTACCTTATAATCCTTGTCTTTTGAGTCGATATAACTGCCATATTAATATTGAGATATGCTTAGGGGTGAAAGCAGTTAAGTATCTTTATAAATATATTTATAAGGGCCACGATAAGATTGTAGTTAACATTAGTCAGAATGATGGAGATATCATTATTGATGAAATACAACAATTCCAAGATGCTCGGTGGGTATCAGCACAAGAAGCCATGTGGAGGATATTTGAATTTGATCTAAATGAAATCTACCCAGCAGTTATAAATTTGCAACTACATTTGCCAAACAATCAATTTGTCTCCTATTGGGAAAACCAAGACTTGGAGAACATTATTTATTCTGAAACAGCTTCAAAAACAATGCTCACAGAATTTTTTACGTTTTGTTTGAATGATAAATATAAAAGGCAATATCTTTATAGAGAATTCCCAGAGCATTTTGTATGGAACAAACAAGGGAAGTATTGGAAAGAAAGGAAAACAAGACAGGTTATTGGTCATATAAACGAAGCAAACCCATCTGAAGGTCAGAGATATTACTTGAGGCTTTTGTTAAACCATGTTAGGAGTCCAACATCTTTTGTTGATTTATTAAGCTACAATGGTATTCAATTCTCTTCATTTAAAGAAGCTACTGAAAAGAGAGGATTGTTTCAAGGAGATGATTGGATATCAGATTGAAGCTTCTTCCTTCCAAATGCCATTAGCTTTGCGTAGACTTTTTGCAACTATTTTAGTATATTCCTATCCATGAGCTAACTTGGCCATGGTAGGTGGTTGTTTGGTTATGATGATGATCAGTCCAGTTTCATATATAAAGGGAATGGAGATGTTAATTTGTGAGTAATGATTGTGAAATAGTCACAACAACATATTATTTTAGATTTTAATGATGTGTTACAAATTTATGATTAATATCTAAACACGAAAGTGTGCAGTTTCGCCCCTTTTCCCATGTTGAGTCACAGGCAATGCCTCGGAAAGCACAAACAAGCCACAAGACTTTCATTCCAACCATATTATAAATCTTTTGTTAGTCACACTTATACAATTTAACACCACAAGATCTAACTTGCACCACACAGGTTCCTGAATATATTTAACTTAATCATTCTGTTTAGTTTTAGAGTTTTCAAAAACAAGTTTTAAAATTTTTGAGTTTTTAATTCGTATTTATTTTAATTTTTAGTGAATTTTAAAATATTTTAATCAATATTTTTATTTTTAGATCCAATTAATATAAATACATTTAAAAAGAATAAAATTTATTATAAAAATCTTTTAAAAATTCATTAAATACTACAAAATACAATATATATTCTGTACATTTTTATGTTTTTTCATATTTATTTAATTTTTTAAATATTTCTTTACATTTTTCATATTTATTTAATTTTTTAAATATTTCTTTACAAATATTTTATTTTTTGAAGTACATCTAAATTAGATTTACCTAAAAAATTGACCAAAATATTAACAAAATTTACTAAAAATAAAAAATACAAATTGCAGATGTAGACCAAAGTCTTGTACGTGAGTGGTTTAATACTGCACATGCAGCTTTACCACTTTTAGTGGTCTCAATCAGCGAGGATGAGTGACCAGTGAGATGGTGTTGCATTTCTGAATTTGTTTTGAATATAAAGTCATCCATGAGTCTACTGTAGTCATTAATCAACTCTTTACATACATAGGTAAGGTTCGTCCATTGCGTTTTGTTGTTCTTCATTGCTGGCCTGTCATAGGAAGCCACTTGCTCTTTGCCACTGTCTTTCTTTTTCTTCTCTATTCTAGATCTATTTGATATCTCCATCCAATACAATGAAACTAGTGAATTCATCACACAAAAAAACTCATGTTGTATTGTGTCCCCCTCACAAAAAAAAATCTATTGAAGTATCCGATTTGTTCACTGTAAAATCAGTTTTATGATTGGTTCTTTTGAATCTTGGTCCATTGCCTTCTGTGCCTCGATTGATATGGATGAATATTGCTCCTTCTAAGATGCAATTCACCAGTTGGCTCGCTTGGAAGAGCAAACTTAAAACATCAGTGTTTCTTCATAGGATTGGTGTTCTTGATCCTACTGTAGATCCATTATGCATTTTCTGTAATTCTTGTGATGAAGATGGGAACCATGTAATCCTACATTGCAGTTTTGCTTGGGAAATCTGAACAGAGATTTTGTCATGGTGGGATATTATTTGGGTGGTTCCTCAATCTGTGAGTCATTTGTTGGAGTGATGTGATGGTTTCAAATTCAAAAAGTTGGAAAAGAGTATTTGGAGGGCAATTCCAGTTGTTGCGATATGGAACTTATGGAAGGCTAGACATGAGTGCAAGTTTGTTGGTCTTGGTATTAATTGGGAAGGTTTGTGTGAATCTATATTATTGCATATAGCCTTATGGGTTAAATACCATGTCAAAGGGGCGAGTTGCTCTGTTTCTGACTTGGTGTTTAGGATCAAAGCTATAAGGGGTTGCTAGCTAGTTGGGTTTCTTTGTTTTGGGTGCTGTTAGTTGTTGTTTGTTTTCTGTCTAGTTGACCACATGTGATGAAGTGTCTTGGTAATAAAATATAAATAATAATGTTATCCTATCTCTAACAATTTAAGTTTTCAGATGAGTTGGTATTTAGTAATCTAATTTTAAGAAACATAAAATATTAAGCGATTACATTTCTAGGGAAAAAGCATCTTAACGTCTTCAAACATTTGTAAAAATTAATACAAACACGAGTAGAAGAAAAAGAGAAAGAACCTCATGGAGAAAACCATTATTAGCTGGTCGGTTTGTGCATGAGGTTTGCACATAAAAGCTTAATGCAACATAAGTATCCTCATTATTTCACACAATTGGGTAAGAAGCTTGCATGGCAATGCCACACAAGCCTTCATTTGCAGTAACATCTCTTTTGATCTTCATATATCCATTCTCACCCCATCTAGAGCCCCATGAATTCTTAACCAACCAATACTTAGTCCCATCACTAGTAGCTCCATATCCAATTACAGTGACAACATGGTCAAGATTGGTGCCACAATTCCCAATGAAGACACCACTCGAGTAAAACTTGAAGTTAGATCCACTAACTTCAATGGCAATAGAAATTGGTTGGTTGGGCACAGCTTGCAGAAGAGCCTGCTCATTATTGGATGACACATTTTCGTATCCAGCTATCATGGCTGCAGAGGTTGTTGCTTGCGTGCTGTCACAAGTGCCATCTTGTCCAACATAAGGGTAATTACCTTCTGTTGTGAGGCAATTGTTTTGTTTGATAAATTGAAAAAGGTTGTATCCATAGAGCCACCTCCACAACCATTGTTATCAACATTAGAATCAACGAGCTCTTACTCAGACAGTGATATTAGGTTACCATTTTTAAGTTGATTAATACCTTCCATGGCTGTCGCTGTTGAAAATGCCCAACAACATCCTATATACACGATATGCACCACACAAAAAATATAAATTAAAAAAAATAAAAATAAAAAGGTTATAAATAGAAAAGGAATTATAATCAAGTGGGTTATGATTAGTTTACAAAAGAACATGATGCGTTAACAGGTTCATGCTACATATCGTTTAAGAGCCAATTCATGACCCAATTATGTTAGGGGAAAGATGTGATTCCCCACAAGTAAATCAATCAATGGGAATAAAAACTAATGCGAAAAAATTAAATCAAAGAGCAACACAAGAATTTTTACGTGGTTCCCTCAATGTGAGGTACGTCCACGGGATCGAAATCCGATTCCACTATCAACCAAATAAGTTCCAAACAATTACAAACGAGACACTAATGGTCTCACAAACCACCCTTAGGTGAATTCCAAATAATCACAAATAAACAAAGAGAAAAGACCTCACCAAATAGATGAACCAAAATCTTCAGAACCAAAGTTGAAGAAGACCCAAAATAACAAACCATATCAATTTCACCCACTAACCAATGATGCACAGCAACAATGGAACATCAATTGAACTTAAGCCCAAACAATCAATGTTGGCTCCGGAATCTGTGTGGCTGCCGCAGTACTTCTTCTTTTTGGTGAAAACCAATACCAAAATATGTATTGTGAATCTAGGGTTTATTATCAAACTTTAATTGTTTCCAAATTGGATTGGGTCTCCTCAAATATAATATATAAAAATATATTATACCTAAACCAACCCAAATTAAAATTCTTTAACAAACCAATTGGGTCCCACACTCCAATAAGGAGGTATACCCAACAATTCTCCCCCTACCGACTTAGGTGGAGATATCAACCATACCCGCTAAAGTTCGACACTTCAAATGTTTGTCCCTCGACAAAGTCTTTGTCAACATGTCTGAAATATTATCATCTGTGTGAACCTTTTCGAGTTGTAATAACTTCGAATCTAACACATCACGAATCCAATGGTATCTCACATCAATGTGTTTCGATCTCGAATGAAAAGTAGAATTTTTACTCAAGTGAATAGCACTTTGACTATCACAATAAAGCACATACTTTTCTTGCTTCAAACCCAACTCTTGCAAAAATTTCTTCAACCATAACTCTTCTTTGCAAGCTTCTGTAATAGCAATAAATTCAGCTTCGGTAGTTGAGAGAGCAACACATTTTTGTAATTTAGATTGCCATGCCACAGCTCCCCCTGCAAAAGTCATCAAATACCCCGAAATAGATTTCCTAGAATCAACATCACCAGCCATGTCAGAATTTGTGAACCCATCAAGCATCGGTTTACCATCCCCAAAACACAAACACACCTTCGAAGTCCCTCGAAGATATCTTAGAATCCATTTTACCGCTGCCCAATGTTCTTTACCCGGATTAGAGAGAAAACGACTCACCACACCAACAACGTGAGCAATATCCGGCCTTGTACAAACCATGGCGTACATCAAAGAACCAACTGCTGAAGCATAAGGAACTTTCAACATCTCTTCTTTGTCTTTCTCACTTGTAGGACATTGATTCGAACTAAGCTTGAAGTGACCCGCAAGTGGACAACCAACCGGCTTTGCTTTATTCATGTTGAACCTCTCAAGAACTTTCTCAATGTAACTTTCTTGAGACAACCAAATCAGCCCCTCTTTGCGATCACGAACAATTTTCATACCAAGAATTTGCTTTGCCGGCTCCAAATCTTTCATAGCAAAAGACTTGCTTAACTCCAATTTCAACCTGTTTATCATGGTAGAATCTTAACCCACAATTAACATGTCATCAACATAAAGCAAAAGAATAATAAATTTGCCATCCGAAAAATTTTTCACAAACACACAATGGTCCGAAGTGGTTTTAGAAAAACCGTTATTCATCATGAAAGAGTCAAATTTTTTGTACCATTGCCGCGGGGCTTGCTTGAGACCATACAAACTTTTCTTCAATTTGCAAACAAATTTCTCTGTCCCTTTCTCTACAAAACCTTCCGGTTGCTCCATGTAAATTTCTTCTTCAAGGTCGCCATGAAGAAATGCGGTCTTCACATCAAGTTGCTCAACTTCAAGGTTCATACTTGCAGCCATGCCAAGTACAACCCGAATAGAAGACATCTTCACAACTGGCGAGAAAATCTCATCAAAATCAATACCTTTCTTTTGCCCAAAACCTTTCACAACAAGACGTGCCTTGTACCTCAGATTTAAAAAAAAAAACTTCTAGATGTTTATCTTTATCAAATTGATT